GGTGGTTAATCTAAAACAAATTCAAAACCAGATACAGTACATGTTGTAATCAAGTAACTAAAGTGCAACAGAATAACGTCCTCATACCAAGACGAATAACCCTTCATGTTCCCAGGTGGCTAAAGTTATGTTGCAGTGATGTTGACACCTACAGCCCTCTATACCTTGTATTGTTTATATTGTAAGCAGTGGTGTAGTGGTCGTTGGACGCAGGGGATCGCCGTACCCCCACTTATTTGGAGCCCCCACTTTTTTGAAGCATGATTTGTTTTGAATAGTCCTAATAAATATAAAATCATTGCCAGTGTGATCAGTTGCAAGTGTGTATTTGTTGTAATAATGACGAAAACAATAGATTTCATAGTAATTGTAGGAGTCATTGTATGGGTGTTGTTGGTGTGTCAGTTTATTTAAGTTATATGTATAGTGCAATATTATTTTTGAACACTTGGTGGCGGGGTTTAGCTGCACCGGGTGTATATAAGAGGTCATAGGTGACAGGAGGACGAGGACACAGAAGGAAGAGAGCATACCGATTCCACCAGCCCGGCAGATGCTCACCACAACAACTAAACTGTACAATTAAACCCTGGTATGTACACGCTGAATAAACCTCATTATAAACTGCACCAAAGGACCGGAAAGTCATCTGTTTGTGTCTGCGTCTGGATCACTCTTCAGCCCTTCTGTGAAGTAATGGCAACAATATATAGGACATAGAAACAGGAAATTGCCATTACACACACAGTTAACATGATAGGTTGCTTACCCTCAGTCCATTTTTGCCGTAGCCTGGCAACGACGATGATTTGGCAATGCATGAGTCTGGAAGAACAAATATAAACACATAAGCATAAACAAACACATAAATTATGCAAACATAATAATAACACACTCAATTGATGAATGGGAGTGCAGTACCTCTATAAACAGGCAGTTTCCAGAGGATTCGAATTGTTAAGGGGCCCTGTGATGCTAATTTTTAGGTTTCTTATTCATATTTTGTGCCTCTACTGTGACATGTTTTTCTCATACTGCCTGTACTGCAGCACCTCTTTTCACCCTCTGTCGGAAACCAGACCACACCCTGCTCTGATTGGTTGAGCTGGCCGGCCCTGCTGTGATTTCTCAAGCAAATCACGTCCAATGTGTTGGAGCGCTAGCCAATAGAAGCGCCAGTGTTATGTAGTGATGTCACAGTGATGTACATGTGATATGGTTGTTACATTTACTCCCTTAATAGAAATAAATAAAATAGAATGAGATATTATTCTCTTCACCATTTTATATTTTACCAATAAAACCCCACCAAAACTCTGATTTCATGAATCTTTTTTAAATATGTATTTCCTTTTGTTGTCACGCCTGCAGCATAGTAGCATCTAACCGTTGGTAACCAGCAGCATCCTAGCGTCCTGTATTTGTGTTGTGCACTAATGTAATGAGGCAGCAGATGGCAGTGGAGTCACACTAATCCGCTCAAGTCATTTTTCCGTTTCTCTCACTTCTACTTTCACATCTTTGTTTCACTATTCCTTCTTCCTTCATCTTTCCTCTTCCCCTTCCTTCTCTCCTTCCTGTTCTTCTCTCTATTGGTCACTGCAGTTGTTCAATGGAATTAAATTACACAGTGATGTCAAAGAGCCGAGACAAAACACCCTGATGCAGTAAAAACGATTGAGCTGTGTGAGTGTGTGTGGGACGCTGAAATTATAATGGGTTTTCCTTCAACAACACACTTTCAACAAAAAAATGAGATACAGTTGAATAGATGAGTCATGGCGTGTCTCAGAAATATGTTTGTGCCTTGATGCCAAACAGTGTGAAAACAAATTGCCTTAGCAAGTTTATATTTATTTAGTCTATAGTCTCAGCTGCCATTTGAATCATTGCTCTTAAGGTTTTGGAGCAATTTGTTCAATCATTTCATCAGTTATTCTATTCTAATGGCACGATCCATGGCAAAAGTATTGTCTAGATGGTGTCCAAAAACATATTTGAAGCCAAGTTGGGATGTTATTGAGTTAGGATTAGGGATGCGCGGATTTGATACTCTTTATTGGTGTTGGTCTGATCTCATTCAATATTTATATCTTTCAACAACTGTCATTAAGACAAAGGCTTCATAGAGCATTAAGAAAAGTAATTTACACTTTGTATTCTAAATAATTAGATTGAAACTTTTGTACAAAGTTGCACTTTCAATTTCATTTTTTAACATTACAATGCTGCTGACCAATCGACATGCTGCTAACATTTTGGGTTCTAAAAAGTATAGATAAAATGCATTGTATGTATTTCTTTCTTCAAAGAAGTAGACAATCTCTTTCACAGTATGAGCTATAGTTCTATAAGGATTATGGCAAAGAGATCACAGTAACAAAAACACTCCAAACGTTTAATAAACAAAGTGATTTCATAGGACTCGTCTATCTTTACAATCAAAAGTGTCCTGTGTCACTGTGGCTTGACAAACAGATGGCCGAGGGGTTCAGGTCGGTGATCCTGGATCAGTGCCCGCTGCTGAAGAAAAGCTGCTAAACGCAGACCTAAGCTACAGAGACATTCATCTTCCCACCTGTAACCCTAAAGAAAGTGTGTGTGTGTGTGTGTGTGTGTGTGTGTGTGTGTGTGTGTGTGTGTGAGAGAGAGAGTTGATAACAATCGGATTTAAAGCTGAGCTGCAGAACAGGTAGGACGGAGAGGATCAGAGGGAAGATAGCCCACGGTGGAGCCGTCGCCTTGAGATGACCTCAGAGATACGATATCAGAAACACACTAATGAACCACTCTCACACTCACCGCTGTCTAAACTGTAGACGGACTTGGGAGCTGAGAATATAGAAACAGTGAGGAAAGAAAAGAAGAAGAAAAGGAACAAGGGACACTTCATTATTTCATGACACATACACCTCGGAAATACAACCTCTCTTGCTTCAAGTCAAAACTTTTTAGTCCTAATGAATTATCAAAGAAGCATTAGCAGATATAACTTGTTCTTGAATACTGGTTTAGAAGCTCTTAGCGAAGTGAAGTTACCACATGAGATTATAAAGCTGTCATAGTTAGAGGACAAACAGAAATGAGAGGGCAGCTTTTAGTGGAAGAGAAATAAAAAAGGCCAGCTGTTGTGGGACATCTATAAAACATCAGCTGTGTGAAGATATGCCCCTGACAGCATCAACATGCCGACAAATCACTATCGCGACCTACACATCATATTAAATATGAAGCAGCATGGGCACATTCATGAAGCATCGAGCCGCACGTTCAAAATGCATATATTTACAGCAACCACCCACCAAACTTTGAGAAAAAATTATCTTAAAATGCAACAGATTATAATTACAAACATAGATGCCGGAATTTGGAAAATAGAAGTATAACTTTTATCTTTTTATTATATTAATTGATAAGTGAAAAAACGAATGATATGATAAAGCTCTGATGGGGTTGAACTGAGGCACAGTGGTGCTTTGCAGTACATTCACAATGCTGACATACTGATGTGGAGCAGGTGCAATGTTCACCATCTTGGATTAGCGTGTTAGCATGCTAACAATAGCCATTTAGCACTAAATATAAAACACAGCTGAGGCCAAAGGGCAATGTAATTCATTTGACAGCTATTTTGTTATAAACCAAAGTGTTGAACACACTGAAATGTTGACCAGTCAATAGCTGGAAGTCATTATAATTCATCCTGAGGGGAACATGAACGTGTGTATCAAGTGTCATGGCAATTATTGAGATTTTTCAATTATAACGACAGAGGTGAACCTAATGAAAGCACTAGAGGAAAAGTCACGGGATCCAAAAAGTAATTAGGGTTAATCCGATTGGGGACCATAAATGCCTGATTAAAAAGGTTCCAATCCGTTTCGTAGATCTTAAGCTATTATCAAATGTAAGTAAAAACTTTAAACTCCCATTGATTCAAAAGGAAAACAATCAGGAGGTCACAAAAGTGATTTGAATTTATCCTCAGGGGACCATGAACGTTTTTATTGCAATTCATCTAATGGTATCAGTTATTCCTCTCTGTACTAAAGTGGTGGCCCAACTGACTGACATTGCTATCACCATCCCTAGAATGGAGCAAATTCATTCAATCCATTATTTAGTAGGAGTTCGTGTTGCTTCTATCCTACTGTGGGCATCCCATTTAGAAATGAACCTCCTCTGAAGAATAGATGAGCAAACACCTCTCAGTATTTTTCACATCAGTGTAATAACAGCAGACACTATAAACCCAGAGTGATTACACAGCAGTGAACACACACATTATCCACACCTCTCAGTCTGACCTCACTGTGCACAGAGCTCATTTCCCTCTCTCTCTCTCCACCACTCTCTGACCCTGATTTAGCTCGGAGCTTCATGTCATACATCTTCTTTGAACGGCTGTAAATTGCTCTAGCTTCTCACTCCGACACTCTTTTGAATAAAATTCACTCGCAATCTCGTTCGCTCTTTCCTTCTCTCTCCTGTTAACACTCTTTTTTATTCCCATTTGACCTCCACAGTCTCTCCTTTTTTGTCTCTGGGAACAATAAGAGAGCTAATATAGATACTATTATATAGAAAATGGTGAAAACATGCATTTCCTAATCTCAAACTTTTACAAACGCAGGCTGATCATCACCATTAACTTGACTGAACCAGATAAGATATTTAGCTGTGAACCTAAACACAGTCTCAAACCTCAAACAACTTTAAAGGATCATATCTGCATTTACTTTATTAACTACTTTTAAAAGCAGAGTTTACAATGATGCTTTAAATCAGTTTTGGCTTGTTTGGAAAACATCCATGGTTCCCAGTGGATACACCTGGTTACTTTAATGACTGCCTACTTTTTCCTGTAGCTCCAGGAATATGGTTTTGATAACGTTTTGTATGCAAGGTATTGAAGTGTTGGATCGATGGCCTTGATATTTGGTAAACACATGTCCAGATTAATTGTAATAACTTTGTCGATCCCTCTGCTTTTTATTTAGTGCCATCAACAGGGAAACTTTAGGGTTTGCAAATACTTAAATTAATATCTACGTAAAGACCCTGAAAAACATAATGGCATACCCAAAAGCCTCAACAGTATTTTGTTATTGGCGCTAATTAGCCACAAATAGACGTCAAGTATACAACATGTAGGTAAATATACAAAAGCAGCACTTTCTCTCAGATTTAAAGAAGTGACCACACACACACACACACACACACACACACACACACACACACACACACACACACACACACACACACACACACACACACACACACACACACACACACACACACAGCGGGCCACAGACTTACAGCCGTTGAGAGAGCTGTAGGCCAGGTTGTTCAGCGCCTCCTTGCTGCTACAGCGAGAAGTGCGCCTGCTGCTCCATTGGTCATTGTCGTGACAACCGGACCGCGCCTTCATCTCCTCCTTCAGGATCATCCTGCCAATTCCCTGCAGGGAGGAAAAAGGAGGAATAGAAGGATGGGTCAGATAAAGGGGCCAGAAAAGAAGGTGGAAAAATGGACTGATAGATGGAGCAATAAGAGGTGGTTAAGTGGGATGGATGCAGGGGTCAATATATGGTGATGGACTAGAGCAGGGAAAGGCGATGGTTGTTGTTTGGATGGATGGATATAGGGAAGGAGAAAGAAGGAGAGAGGAGCAGCATCATGTCCACATGTGAGGTTGGAAAGTGGCATTTAATTACCTAGCTCATTAAATATTAACAGTTTAAATATAAAAGGGAGAAGCATTAGAACCTCATCTTCTTTTACTTTGTTTATATTTTGATTCCATCCATCCTCTTCTCCTCCGGCAGAAAACCTCCTCACCCTGGAGACTGGAGAGAAATGGAGGAAATTAAAGTCAGAGAGAGATGGGAGGTAAAAGAGTAAATAGAGGTTTCTAAGCATGTCTGTTAGCAGAAATGTGTTTTTATTTCAAACAGGAGGGAGCCTAACCTTTTGGAGAGCCGGTATATGGGTAGTAGTTGGAGTCCGGGTGATAAATGCTGCTGCAGTTGGAGGTGGAAAGGCGACTGGAATTCAGGAGGTTCTCATTGGTCTTACTCTTAAAGACTGTCGGAGAAGCAGATATGTCTGAGGGAGAAGGAATAAACAAGAAATCCTCAACACAATTTGTGAGATCACAAAACCTTTTTCACTCAAGCATTGCTACAGTAGGCTAATTTCAATCAATCAATCAATCTTTATTTATATAGCCCAATATCACAAATGTTACATTTGTCTCAGTAGACTTTACAGTTTGTACAGAATATGAATACCCTCTGTCCTTGGACCCTCACATCGGACAAGAAAGAACTTCCAAAGAAACCCCTCAGTTAAAGGGGAAAAATTGAAGTTTTAATTGACATGCTTCAAATAAAAAACACAGCATTGAGAAAGGAAAAGTCAACCATGATGCAAGGAAGTTAACAAATGTTCTGCTTTACCAGGAATGGATTATTTGTTTCGCTTGTTGTTGGCCTAACTGAGGTTTTGTGTCTTTTCTTTGTGTGTGCATACAGGAGAAACAAGACGGACAAAGTAGTGTGTTTACTCACAGAAAGGGGGGGGGGCACAGCAGGGGGGAGGGAGGAGCAGAAGGCATCAAAAGCAAGTATAGAACAGAGAAGGAGGTCAGAGATGATGAGATGGGATATGATGCAAAACTTCCAGTAAGCATGCAAAGTTGTCAAGGTTGATGTTTTCCTTGTGAGGATGAAAGGATGCAATATCTTCAAGGAAATTGTTGATTTTTTTAAGACGGGTGAAGAGCGTGAGGGTGACATATAAGAAAGGTCGTATTTCTACTGATGCTGTGAATACATGAATGTGTCCTTTAATCTTTGGACCATCAGATCTTAAACTGGACATAGAAAAAATAGCAATATGTCTCCTGTTTGTGTGTTTTTGTATTCAGAAAGGGATTATGAGGTGATCTTTCCTTGTTTAAATGGGACTTTCATGCAGGATATATGCCAAACAGACAAGTTGTTGGCAGAGGGAAACAGCAACACCCTGAACCTGGTGATATCTATACATCTAAAATATTATAAGAAGCATTAAAAGGCACTTAAAGAAAACCATAAAACGTTCAGTTGTAATCATTTGATGGCTACATCTGCTATTAGGACGCTTGCTTTTATATTTGAGCTGCAGCCAGTTTTGACTTTGACATACATTACGGCACTAAGTATATATCGTATAAACCTGATTATGGCACTTTGCCTTAATATGAAAACTGCTCTATAAATGATTTGTGCTGTAAACCAAAATTCATCCACAGAGCCCAGATCACAGATTGCCTGCTCAGACGGAAGAGAGAGGCTTGTCAGCATTTTGCTTCTGGGGCGCTGTAAGTCTGCCCGACCTGCCATCTGAGCGCTGATGGATCACCCACACACTCTAAATATTTGTCATTGCTTCTCTTAGTTTTACATCACCTTTTGAATCGCAGATTAAAACTGTAGTTTCATCTCTGATGTGGCCACGTCTACCCACCATCAGAGCTATTTTTTGTTTGGTTTTCAGCCAGGTCAGCTGACAGTAACATTATTATCCCACACATATTTAGACTCCAATAAATAATGATGGTTGTGATGTGATGGGAAAACTACAATCCGCCTTGATCTATTCTGTAACTAATTAGACCCTCCAGAAAAACGCGGGCAAAAATCCTTGATTATGCGGGCTAAAATCCTTGATTATGCGATTAAACATGCGGGGTTTTATGTGATTTTATGCGGTGAAATTGCGGGAAGTTAGGAAATATGCGGAAAGTTGCGAAATATGCTAAATATGCGGGGGAAAAGAATAACAATTTTTTTAAATATTGGGCTGTCTTATTTATTCTCTCTCACACACAACCTGCCACTAACGTTAAACCCCTTTACTATTCAATTAAACACATTCAATGTTTATTTATTGTAAAAGCAATTGGGCTATTTTAATCTCACACACACACCACCCACCCCACACACACACACACACACACAACACACACACACACACACACTTCTCCGCCTCATTCTGTTTTCATTTACTCGTTCGTTATCTGACCAGCTTCAATCTTGTAGGCTACTCACTTCGTTTCTTGTAGCCCTCGAAAGGGTTTTGGAGGTTGATGCCTCGTGAACGGGAGTTGAATGGCTTTCTTGTCCGCAGCAGCAGAAAGCATTTTCGAATGTTTGAATGAATCAAAGTGGGTCGTCACCGTCGATTTTCTCTTATGCTCCAACACACAGTTGCACGGGGTGCAGAATAGTTTCCCCCCACTTTTTGCCCGGTCTTTAGTAGAAATGTTCGTTGGTAAATGAGCTCCATACAGTGTTGTTTACATTCTGTGATGCGCGAGCTGATGACGTCACGTCAAGACGAGTTAACTTTTTTTTCTTCTCAACTTTGTGTGGAAAAATGCGGGGATTATGCGGCCTTTTGATAAATATGCGGCTTTTTAAAAATCTGCGCCATTTGGCTGATTATGCGGTAAATTCTGCGATCGCAGAATCGCGTTTTTCTGGAGGGTCTAACTAATGCAGTATTCTTGTTTTTACACATTTAAAAATCTCTTCTAACCAGTTTTGTATTTTTAAGGTAACATAAGGCCAGGGATTGCAATGCTAAGCAGGTGGCCCACTGTGAATGTAATGTAGGAGAAACACTTACAGTATGACATTGAATATGGATCGGTCACACCTTGGCAGATAGCCACTCCCCTTAATAAGATAATTATAGGGGCTGCTATTAAGATCTGTGTGTAAGTTTAATTTATGTTTAAGCAACTTGATTTTGAGGTGTCTTTACTTACAGTTACATTCACTTTAGTAAAAAGGTGACTTGTGAATCCGATCAGTGACAGGTGGACAGTTTCATTCGCACTTATTGCTTCAGTTCGCCAATTAGACAGTAAAAATAATGTTTTCACAAAGAAGAAATGTCTCTGTACTAAGTCAAACCTTTTGTAGCAAAAACAATAATTGAAGCAAATGTAATCCAATTAAGCTAAATCAAAATGGAATTATCTAAGGATATTTTATATTTGTAGTTTTCTTCCAACTTCAAATCTAAATATTGGGCAAGACTTAGAGCCTATAAACCCTACAACCCAGGGCTAGACAATGAACAATCAACCAAAGAGCATTATTTGAGAAAACATTTGAAATATAGGACTAAACTATGGCTGCAGCCTGTGCAGGATTGCAAAACAAATGCTTTAGCTTCCTCTGTATTTATTTTGAGAGTTGTTGTCGAGGAGAATGGCATGTCATCAGAAGCACCAGATGTTAGACTGATCTTTTATCTAACGGATTCATTAAGTGAGACAAACAGAAGCATGTGTCATTGTGAGAATGCTTTTACAACCAACCGGCTGACAGGTAGACAGCCTAACACAAGCTATAAAGGAGACGACATTGTGAGGAATACACCAACCTTTTCTTTTATAGATGGGGGGTTTCCTGTAGATGTTGCTGTCCTCAGAATCTAAGGACAGAAACAACGAGGGGATGAGCGTGGAAAGAAGGGAAGAGTAGGGGAGGAGGAGAAGAGGAATAGAGGAAGAAGAGGAGAGGAGTCTGTATTTCCTTACTCATATTGTCCCACCAATTCAATTGTGTACATGTAACCGTTAATCTGACAGTGCGGGTAATAAACTGCCATGGCGGAGATACGGCCGTGCATCCAGACAACCTGATTGACGTGCAGAGAGGCTGACTAATACAGATCCAGGCTTATTACTGGATAGAGCAGCAGATGGCACAGGAATAAAGAAGAGGGAGGAGAGCAGTTGAAGGGTGGATAAAGGGCCGGATGGAAAAGATAAAGTGGAGGAGAGAGAAAGAATCAGAGATGACAGGAGCATGTACAGTATTACCTTGTAGCTCATATTTGGGGGATAATTGTGTTTTAATGGTGGTTTTGAGTGCTGGATAAGCACTACTACACATTACTGCAATATAAGAACAACTAAAATAAGAAAACATTATAAATACTTCCAAATGCCGCACAGTGTACCACTAAATCTTCCAAAGTTAGAGGTTTGACTCCCAGTGGGCCATCAGAGCTAAATTTGTATGCCCTCGTGATACCGCAAAGCACTTTGGATAAAAGCATCCACCAAATACATTTCGCTCCGTGTTGAAAAGCATGAAGGGAGTGCTGTCGCAGGGGCTGGCAAGGAATAACAGCCTTGGAAAAACCGGAGAGGGGACATTCAGTGAGAAATGGAAAAGGAAGGAGGGAATGATGGAGGGAAACCAAATGCACAGCTTGCAGTGAAAAGCAAAGGCCTTTCAAAGTGAAGGGAACAAAGACAGATTGAAACGTTCAGGGGCATTAAGTTGATAAAATGGACGGTTGATGGGATTGTTTAAATAAAATGATCTGGTATTAGTTGTTAGATTACAGCGCTCATATGTTATACAAGAGCTGCAGATCAGTAAGATAAATCAGACAAAGGATCACTGCTGGAGTAAAATGAAGCGATGGTTCATTTTCTCCTCTGCTAAGATGGTGTTGGAAACTCGCTCGGGATCCAAAATTGTATAAGATTAGTTTTCTTTATCAATGGATCTATGAAATATAAACTAAAAAGTGAAACATTCCAGCCACAGTTCCAAACAGCCCAAAGTAGAGTCTTAATGTTGTTTTTGTTTCACTCATTCAAAACCCAAAAATATTGCCAATCAATTAAAATGGAAAAAAATGGAAAATGCTATCAAAATAAATGTATATAAATACATTTTCTGTCAACAACTGACTTCAGTAATTGTAATTATGCTGATAGTTATTTCAAATGACAACATGTCACTAAGGAATGAGGTTGTGTGGGTTAGGAGAGCTATACTCTGGTTCTGGGGTCAGGGTCAGGGTTCTAGCTAAATATAAATACTTGTGATGATTAAAGAGGCCCTATTATGCTTATTGGGGTTTTCTCTTTCGTGTAGTGTGCTATATAGATTTTCATGCATGTCAATTGTCTGAAAAAAGTGTATTTCCCATCAGCTCCCCCCCTGCCTGAAACACTGTGATAGTAGTCCTTTGTTAACTTCCTTAACATAATGACATCACTTTGTCGCGCTACTTTTGGCTAGCGCTCCAACATATTATACGTGATAGGCTTAGGGGCGGGACATCTCTAAGCCTTTGACCAATCAGAACAGAGCCGGCCAGCTAACCAATCAGAGCAGACTGGGCTCTGGTTTCAGACTGAGGGTGAAAAGAGGTGCTGCAGCACATATGAGAAAAATAAAGAGCTTTTTGAAATTAAAGCAAGTAAAAATGTCACAGTACAGTAGAGGACATGAAATACAAATATGAACCTGAAATGTGCATAATAGGGCCCCTTTAACGGTTAGATTGATTCTAAACTCTATTTGAGGGTGGGTGAGGTTACAATCTGATATTTGTAACTTCAGGTTAGTGGTCAGCTTTGTAGATGACGGCCTACCTGGCACATGGAAATGCTTTGGGGCTTGGAAGGAGGTGGTGGTGGGTGAGGAACACCTGGGCTGACTGTAATAAGGTGAACTCCTGCCACTCTCACTGCCTGCAGCCAGTGCAGCCAATCACAGTGAGAGAAACCAAAGCATGAGCAACAGAATGGCCCGAACACACTGATGAATTACTGTGTGTGTGTGTGTGTGTGTGTGTGTGTGTGTGTGTGTGTGTGTGTGTGTGTGTGTGTGTGTGTGTGTGTGTGTGTGTGTGTGTGTGTGTGTGTGTGTGTGTGTGCCTGTGTGTGTGTGTCAGGGGACATGACACCCACTCAAAGAGCTCGAACATCTTTCCAGTTAGGGACTTCCTGCTTTCTGTGTACATATGTGTGTGTCTGTGTGTGTGGTGCATGTATATGCTTGAGTGGGCACATTACCGGGGAGATAGTAATGCAGGGGGGAGCCTCCGTGGCGGCTGTGTGAGGGAGAGTCAGTGAAGGCGGAGCTGGAACGCCTCGTCCTCAGCTCAACGCCGTCCAAGAGATCCTGGAGAGAGAGATAGAGAGAGGCTGCCTTAGAGTAATGTGTTTTTAAGGCTTTTATAGGCCTTTTAACTGCAAAGCAATCACAATTTGAATGAGGTAGTTTGTCATTTCGGGAAATTTGATTACTTACTTTTTGTGGCAGAATATGGATAGGAGTGATACCCGCTAAATAGAAGGCTTGAGCAGCTTCATTAACACTAAAACTTGATCTGCACCAAAACAGCTATGTTTGAATATAACAAGTTGTAGTTTAGCAAGGAGCTTATTCATTTATCTGTCCGTTTTTAGATGTTTTGCCTACCTTCTAGGAGGCCATCATTAGAACCATTATTTGCCAACGTGACAACTGAGCTTTCTCTTTCCAAAATGTATAATTTGTTTACTTTCCTCTGCAGAACTCACTGAAATAATTGATATGTGAGGTGACATGAGGTGCCATTGGGCTAACCAGTGAGGTGGCCCCCGTTTGACCAAATGCATGCAACCAATAGAACCGAAACAATCAGAGATTAATTTGTTGTGGACCTGGTGCCCATCCCTGCTGCGGTTTGTTGATATTTCACAAACAACCCTATCTTTCGTAAATCTTGATTCTTGATGGATGGAGTACTTACATGAGAGTATGCTGATAAGGAGCCCAATGACTGGATGAGAAAAACAAAACAATTGTCTTCAAATGAATCATTTAACAAAAATGTCAGTTTTAAAATAAAAAAATGATGCGGTAACTTCATGATTGATTGTGGGCATGTGTGTGTGTACCTGTACGCAGCTGTATCTCTCCAAAGTGTCATCAGAGTTGTGTGTGTGTGCATGGTCCGCCTGATAAGGGATGATGTCAGGCCTCTGGTTGTCATAGATGGCTTTGACCCGGGGCAGAGCCGCCAGCTGCTTATAGTCCAACACTTCACCGTCGCCTTTGGACTGCAAGAGAAGGAGAGAGAGGACATGGAAAAGAAGTAGAACATTGGGCGTAAATAGACATTTAGGAAAATAAATGCACACAAACACAGACATGAATTAAAAGAAACAGAAGGATACAGAGAGGTGTGAACAAACAGTTAAAACTTACAAAGACAGAGTAGACCAAAATAAACTGGTGAGTATGTCATATTAAATATCTAAAGCCTCGATACATGACAATTTACAAACAACTTAAGACCAATCTACTATAAATTAGGTTATACAAAATGAAAAAAAGGGTCTTAAATTGACTTTAGACACATAATGATGACTCTACGTTGTTGCAGACAGAATAAAGCCGGGGAGAGAGCAGGGAGTCTGCATGGAGACAGATAGTGTTGGCAGAGAGAGCTGTCAGCGACTCTTTGTGCTTCTGTCGCTGTTGGTTGGATTTTGATTGACGGCAGTGACAGTGACAGCTGAGGGCGTAACCATAGCATTGATGGCGTAACCATGGCGACGACGGTACTCACACAGATGAGCCGGTGAGGGGAGCCGAGGAGAGGAGAGGAACCCGGAGAAGAAATGGACACCGTCTCCGAGGTGCGCCTCAGCTGGTGGGACAGATGGGAGAGGGAAGTTAGCTCAAATATACAAAAGACATGTTATTACATACTCAAGGTAAAATATTAATGATGATAGTAACAATACTTTCTCTTGCTCCCATAAAATTGATAATCTTTATCATGGATGATTACAAATTGAGAAAGTTATCTTTACCTGTGTTCTTACAATGTGGGACCATACTTTTACAATACGGTATATTTAGACTAAATTAACAACTGGTGTAATGTAAAAAAATATATAATTATAATAAACCTAAAGAAAAGCCATTAACTCTAGATTTTCAAGACACTATCATTAAAGTGTGTCCACTATAAAAACACCCATGTTAACTACATACCACAAGTGTTTCGCTTCTCATAAAACAAACTAGTTTAGAAACAAAGCATAAGAAATGTCTGACCCAGAGAGCCAAAGAGAAACACAAAGAGAGGACAGAAACAGAAGTAGAGAGACATGGCAGGGACTTGTGGGTATTTTGAGTATTGCCCACCCTCAGTTTCCTCTCCAGTCGAGCGGCTTCTTTACACATGGGGTGCCAAACCTCTGAACCTGCACACAAACACAAAAACAGACTACCTGGTTTACTGTGTGTGGGCAGCAGCCATACCGTTTTATGTGATCCTATAAAGAGCAGATCAGCCTTTCTCAAGTGCATGGACATAAATCTCACACACACACACACACACACACACACACACACACACACACACACACACACACACACACACACTGCATAGTGGAGGCAGTTTGTCTGGTCTGAGGACAAAGGATGTATGCCTTCATGTCTCCCCACACAAACAAACAAAGAGGAAGACGGAGAGAGAGAGAGAGAGAGAGAGAGAGAGAGAGGGAGAAAGAGAGAGGAACAGATTTCTAAACATGCTAGCAGTGTGGTTCAACTAAGCGATAGCAATGTCAATGATGAACTACCACTTTGTCCTCAAATATCTCGACTATCAGAGGGATTGTCATAAAATGATGTTTATTTTTACTTCTATATACCGATTCCAATAGAAGAAAGTGCGTATCACCTGATACAGATTAAAATGAAGTGCTTTTAAACAAACCAAAAAACATAATACTGTTATTAATAGCTGTATACTGTGTAGTAGAGTAACCATGTAAGGCTGTGATATGATTGCTATCATTGTTGTACTGACTAGCTCAGGTTAAACACATATTAACAAATATATATATATATGTACAGACAATGAATGCCAATAGAAGTATCTAACGAGTTAGCCATCTCACTTTTTTATTATCTCATCAATCGGGCCAAATTGCACATCTATTCCATTATTCTCCTTGCATGCTAAACATATCCACTTCTTTGACATCAATGTGCTTTAAAAGTCATGCTTAAAATACTTTTGAATGGAGAAAAGCAACTTGACTGTAGACAAAAAGGATGAATTGTGAATGAATGGAGGCTTTGACATCGTTTTCATAACAACAAACCACTATGTCAGGATGTGATATGCATGTGGATGGTAATAATGACAGTAATACATCCGCTCTGTACACACACACACACACACACACACACACACACACACACACACACACACACACACACACACACACACACACACACACACACACACACACACACACATTTTCTCAGGCCTTTAGGCAACGCAGTTACCGAATGGACTCCGTTAGATGATCATGACTCTAATATACAACTACACTATCAACACCATTAATCTGAGCTGCACACACACAACCACGCACAGACACACTGAGACAACACACACACAGGCAACAACCACACACTCTCACACACAAAATCAATACTGTAGACAGAAACCATGCGTGGTGATTCAGTGCACCCCCGTCCCACCCACTCTCCTCAACCCTGCTGCCGAACAGATGTATGGCCCTGGACTCGGGGTGCTTTATCTCCCGGCTGAGGAGAATCTAAATGCTGCAGAGGGAAAGGGATTCAATCCAAAACAATGGCGCTGCACATCACTTCTGGGAGAATTAGCTGCCGGAAATTTGTCACAAAATGATAACTCAAATGAAACCTACTTCTCTGTCTTTTCAATTAGGAGCAAAGCCTTAGGTGTGTTTGGGCAGACCTTTATTTCTACTCTTTTCTCGACTTTATCCAAAATGTGGTTTATCAGGGAACAAAACAAGCCTCTTTATGTTGACTGGTGATACTCAAAAGAGCGAATGAAGGCAGTCAGAGAGATCTAGGGAAGTGATATTGACATTTGGGTACCACTCTACAATAAGACTACCCTTATAAAGGATTCATAAAGGGTTTATAATTAGGTGGTTAATTAGGTTGTAAACACTTTATTAATCATTAAGAACCATTTATAATCCAGTTCTAATAGTTTTCATACATCAACAAAGGCGCACTATTTGGCAAGATGACTAAGCCTTATATTGGCTACCTAGCTTACTCCGTCTTCTTCTTCTGCCATCATCCTTGGTATCTGTTGTTCACTGAGGTGATTCCCCCCCTTCCATCTTGATGTTTCTTGGCATCTCTTTATGACCATTTATTTACGAGTTACTAACATGTATAACTACCAAAAGGGAGCCTTGCTGATTTTTCTTTTTGTATTTACTTTTTAATATTTACTTGCTCTATATTTTTCTGTATTATTGTGTTGCACTGTTGGAGAAGCCTGGGAACTAAGATTTTCATCGACATAACTACGCTATGTTCGTATGACAAATAAAGAACCTTGAACCTTGAAGTGTAAAACAAATCACCATTTATTAATGAGTTACTACCATTCATAATAAGGTTTAGCAGTACAGATAAATGTGGGCTCACTATTTGGCAAGCAACCGGTCACAGTTACCCTGTTTATCTCATGTCTTATAAAAGCTCATTAATGATTTTATAAAGTGTTCACAACATGATTAATAAATAAATTACAAACTATTCATAAACCCTTTATAAGGGTAGCCTTATTGTAAAGTGGTATCGACATTGTGCTTGTGTCATTTGAAATTCTAATGTTATAAAGCAGCAGATATTCAAATAGCCTCTGGAGTTTTGCTATTTGCTGAATCGTGTCGCCGAAGACTGTCCTTTTATATATTCATTTTCCTTTACCTTCCAAATGTCGGTTCACTTTAGCATTTATTGAGAGAATAAGAAAAGCAGAAAGGGTGTATTAACTCTACTACATGGAGGTGGGACCATTTCTTTTTAAGGCAACACATTCGATTTCCCCAAACAAACATATTCTGTTTGGCCCCACTGATCAGTCCACTGCGGCCAAACAAATAAATAAAAATGTTGTTCTGAGAAAAAAATCGAAACACAATTGTTAAATTATTGGAAGCGCCCAATAAATTCTCTTAACTATTTAGGATCAATACTGTCGTTTTAACAGCTTGAAATATATCACATTGACAGGAGCACTGATATAAACCTGACTTGGCCTTAAACCATTAGCTTATTAATTATTTATTCGTCACTGAAAGACATTTTTACTAAAGACGTATAGTTAAACCTTCTTAGATAGGAAGATGTGATTGTTTTTCAAAGTTTTGTATTTATTTAGAACCAAAATCATAGAAAAAGATTTGAAAAACAGTGGACGTCTTCTGAACTGATGACGTTTAGTAACACCTAAGATATGTTTGAAAAATGCTGAATAGTGAGAAGGAAATTCAGGGAGTTAATTAACTTACTACGTCCATCCGTCTATTCATTTAAAAAGAATCAACATTCCCAATTTGTTTGTTAAATAGTTCTCCATACCACACACACACACACACACACACACACACACACACACACACACACACACACACACACACACACACACACACACACACACACACACACACACAAACANATGTGTGCGAGCATGTGTGTGTCGTAATTGAGCGTGGTCTCATGAGGGTGATTGCTCAGCCCTCCTAAATGTCTGAAGTCATCAAAAGGAGTGAATGTAACCTTGGGGCAGCTCACCAGAGCTGAACACACACACACACACACACACACACACACACACACACACACACACACACACACACACACACACACACACACACACACACACACACACACACACACACACACACCTGCATTCATATGCAGACACACTGTTGTGCAAAACTTGCTTTTAAGCGGATACAAGGAAAAAAAGACGCTTGCAGGTATTTACAGCCATAGATAAATATACACACACACACACACACACACACACACACACACACACACACACACACACACACACACACACACACACACACACACACACACAGTACAATATGCAAATGCTTAGTTTTACTGGTGGCTGTGAGCGGGTGAGCAGCAGAATGTCAATGAGGTGAAGAAGGAGATGTCAACTTGTCCGCCACATGTTACGGTACAGTTGCTCTACATTTAATCTCACCTCGGCCAGGCTAAAGCGTGTGTGTGTGTGTTTGAATTCCTTTTTCCCTTTCACCGTTATCTTGAAGGAATGTTTGTGCAGTATATAATTGCATGGCTTTTATATTCACATGTCGCCTGTGTACACAACCATATCTCCGACAGTATGTTGAGCTGATTTGCATTAACATCATGTTTGCAAGAAAATGCTGCCACTTTCTTCAACATATCAGGACATGCTAACATTTAAACTCACTGCTAAATATTTACATTGTGATTCCTACAGTATAAAGTATATGAATTCAAACTGTGTTTAATATGTTGTTCAAATGAAGGCCAGGCATACAGTAGACCATGGAGAAATTATAAAATGCCCTTCCTGTTGCCAATTAATCATTTCAGAGGACCACAGAAATATGAAGCAAAAGGCATACAAATTCAAGTTGTCCCACACGGTCAAAAGGGTTGGCCAGCGTCCTCATATAAACCTGTTTTAATGCATGATTGAGCTTATTAACTTTAATTACTATTATCTCATTTGTAAAACAGAAGCTCCTAGTTGATTACATTTAAACCTCCGGTGAAGGCGTTTCATTCAGATTAATTGTGTCAGCAGCAGAGTAATGGACAGAGAGGAGGCGAGGGTTGAGAGGTAATTGACTCCAACCTTTGTGTGTACACAGAAAACATGAGCTGGGAGAAGGCATGTGCGAGTGTGCATTTGTGTGTGTGTGTGTGTGTGTGTGTGTGTGTGTGTGTGTGTGTGTGTGTGTGTGTGTGTGTGTGTGTGTGTGTGTGTGTGTGTGTGTGTGTGTGTGTGTGTGTGCATTTGTGTGTGTGTGTGTTTTTACCAGTGAGTGTGGTCGGGAGTGCTATATGTGAGATCAATAAGCTATATAACGGTGCTCTGTTAAAAGCAGTCATTTATCAGGAAGCCGTATCCGATTGCTCTCTAACTGTATCAACCACAGACACACCGACCAGTCGCGCGCGCACACACACACAGACACACACACACACACACACACACACACACACACACACACACACACACACACACACACACACGCCTCTGTATACTTGCAGGGTTCAGCGGATTTAATAGATGCTAAAAGTCCATATTATGCCTCTTAGCTACAGTATATGTTGAAACTCTTTTGTAGAGCCATCTATTCACAAAGCTTATAATCGATTCTATAGATTTGACATATATTTTGTTCCATATAGTACCATTTCATGGCTCTCCTCTCCTTCCTCACCTGTGATGTACATTTCCGCTCCTTCCAAGAACATCGTGTGACAGCGAGCACACCGGGCACAGCTGGGGTGGTAACGCTTCCCTCCAGCCTGAAGGAGAAGGAAAGGAAGGGAAAGGAAAAGTGAGAGGAAATAAATAAGGCAGAGAGCAGCTAGAGCAGATCACACAAATGAGGAAACGAGAACAAAGTGGTGATAGGAAATGTAGAAAAAGAATGAGGAGTGGGGAGAGGCACGATAAGAAATAGGAATTAATTGGGGAGAGGAGATGGGAGAGTGTTGCTTTGTTGGTTTTTCCAAAGCTGCTTCTCCATCAGTCAACACTTCGCTCCTTTAAAGAGGGACAGCTGCGTTTTTTCGCAGCTTTTTATAGACCGACACACACACATGCCTGCATACAAACCCACACTTTCTGTCACACAGAGGAAAAATATGCTCATACTCAATCTTGTTCCCATTTATCTTTAGCATGCACACATGAAAAATGCACTCACCTCAAGAACTCTTCCGCTGATGTAGCGGTTACAGCTGTCACACCTGATCCCAAACTGAGTGTGGTAGTCACTCTCACAGTAAGGGATCCCATCCCTGCCAGGGACAAACAAAGATGTTCTCACTTTGATTTTACCTTCTGTTCCACTATTATCTATCCTGTAACACATCGTTTTGTGATACGCGAGTCAAGGTACATAAATCAACTGGAGCAAAGCCAAATATTTTTCAGTGTGACTTCCAAGTATGAACATGTAAATAAATACTGTGGGTGTCTGTTAAAGGGGACCTATTATGCAAAATCCACTTTTTCATGTATTTTATACATAATCATGTGTCCCCTCTGTGTAAAGAGATTCAGGAGAAAAGATTCTCTCACTTTTTGTCCTGAGCTGATCAGATTTTGGACACTTTATGATGTCATAACGATTTCACTTGTTACTAGTTGGTTGTTAGCCAACAACCATTAGCCAATAACCAACCAAGGTAACCCCCGCCCCCCCCACCTTATCACCTGAATCTCCTCCTAGAGCACCATTGTGTTATTTTTAACCAAATATCTCTCAGAGGGGCGTGGGGAGTGGCTCCTTATTTCATCTAAAGTAACAGACAGAGAATCAGCACTTTTGAAACAGGGCTGAAACAAAGGGGATTATGGGATGCTACAATGCACAATCTGTTTGGTATTTCGAGCCAGACATTTCAGAGACATGTTTTGTATATATATCTGAGACCTATAATATACTGATGAATGTATAATAGGGGACCTTTACAGTTAAAAGTAGTTTACAGTAATTACCGGTTATTATCTTGCAAATAAAACTTGCTGATGGAAAAAAGTATCTACATTTCTTGCATGAATTGCCATAATAAGAGTGCTCCAAGTTTATTATAACACCTGCTTTAAGCAAATTGGTTACAAAGCTTCAGATATGAAACGGAGAACGTGGATCGCTTGAGAAATCTTTGATATTGGCTGGAACATTAGCTACAGTACAGACATCAGATCAAGCCACCTACTTGCTGATGTACTCTCCAGTGAGCGGACAGCCGCACGTTCGGCATTTAAAGCAGCTGACGTGCCACTGCCTCTCCAGAGCCAGCAGGGACTGTCCCTGCTTGATCTCCTCCCCACAGCCGGCACAGTCTACAGGAGAGAGGGAATGCAGCATTGAGAAACACATAAAGATAAGAGCACCTCCAACATTAACATCCCCTCCCTCCTCTCTGTCCTTGTCTCCCTGCCAACCTCCCATCACTCCTCTCCTCCTTCCTCCTCATCCCTCGTTCCTGTCCTCATCGTCAAACTGTCTTTGCCAGATGGAGCGACCAGAACCAGGCTAAAGAATACCTGGAGCTGCAGGCCACCTTCTCTGTGTGTGTGTGTGTGTGTGTGTGTGTGTGTGTGTGTGTGTGTGTGTGTGTGTGTGTGTGTGTGTGTGTGTGTGTGTGTGTGTGTGTGTGTGTGTGTGTGTGTGTGTGTGTGTGTGTGTGTGTGATATGTTTTGCAGCATTTGCTGGTCAGTAAAACTCTTCAGGTGTTTATGGATGACAACAATTAAATTATTAAATGTTATAAATATAAGGAGGTGACCTAAAATCATTGCAACAGATGATGCTTGTTACTAAATGACCAAAACGCATGCACGTTTTTTTTTAGTTGGTTGCACAGCTTTGGTGAAGCTGCTTTATGTCACACTGATATCAAAGGATAACGCTGGTGCTATGCTATACTTTTCATATTTTCATCAAACCCCATGAATGAAATAAAACAAACGCACCAAAGACTTGATTATTCCTTTACGCCAAAGACAGAAAAACAGACCAATGAGCCACACTGTGTGCACTACTGCACTTCAGTCTTTTCATTGGATTTATTGACAAACAATAAGAAAAATGAAGACTTTATTACTAAAAGCTGGAGGGCTACTGGTTTCAGCAGTTTCTCTTATTTGTTGGAGAAGAAAAACTACACCTTTGCTCGTTTAATTCGCTGGTGAAGACCATCCTGTGCCTTAAAAGGTGGTGAGTAAGCCTTTGAGATAAGAAATACATCTATTCCACAATGTAGGAATACACTGCATTGCCTCAAAATGGGATCTAATTGGCTGCTGGCAAGGATCAGAGGAGTAGATTTTACAGTATAATTATGGTCAATTGGTCTGTGTGTGTGCATATATTTGTGTGTGCGTGTGTGTTTGTTTCTTACAGCTTGGCCCGTGAACCTTGACGGGCTTGTCGCTTTTCAGAGTGTGTGAGCACTGCTGACACACACACTTCTTCTCACAGAAGGTCACCCTGTCTCCAATTGGGAACGGACTCCTGAAAGAAACACACAGTATTTCAGTAGAGCTATGCAGATATAGTTATACTAAGGTTAGGTTGCCAAATTCACGGAAAAGTCACCTCCCAACCCGTACTGATAGAGTATGTATCTGTGCAGAAAGATACAACACTTTGATTTGCAGACGTTTTGACAGATGGAACTGATTTTGTAATCCCAACATAATGGATGTGAACAGAATAGAAGCTGTTTGATATGAGATCAAGATTGCATTTTGTCTGCTTTTGACATTTAAATTAAGTTCAGTCAGACAACTCACTTGTTTCTTAATATGTTTATTATAAGCAGCATATAGTTTGAGTTTGGCGTCTAGGGTCGGGCCTCATCACTCCACAGATTTACAGAGTACATTGAGTGATGATAACTATCCCCCGAGCCTACAGGTGGAAGCTGGGGTGGAGCTGGGGTGGTGGTGGGGCAGGCAAGCAGCAGCAACATGAAACACAGCAGCAGGAACATGAACATAGCAATAGCAAGTGAACACAGCAGTGCAGCAGCAGCATAGCGAGGCAGAAGCAGGAAGACCTGGCAGCTTATATAGAGCGGCATGTTTAGGAGAATGTGTTTGGTTGGTTGTAAGAGGGACGAGGTGCGTCACGTGTTAATGTATGCTACTCGAGTTGAATGCCTGAACTAGCTCGCAGGCTTCTCCCCATTTAATGAAATCATAATTTCTCCCATAGCACCACTTTCATTGCTTCTCTAATTCCCAACTGAAGAGTGTATATTAAATCAATAGACCTTTAATATCCAGATGAAGGGGGGGATTATATTTCAGACTTTTTCCTAAAGAAATAAATCAGAAGTTTCAAACTAATCCCTGAGTTCCACACAACAATCTCCTCATCACCTGATATTATTTCTCATATTTGGTGACACATTGCACATTCACTCTAGTTTGCAGAGAATATGGTTTCATCATACCTGACTGAATTATTAATACAAGGATGCAATAAAGTATAAATCAAAACATGCGGCAATGCCTTTCAGCCCAAGGGTTCAGCTGTAGCCACACTGTGAGGGCAAAGGTGTGCACCTGCAATGCAGCCTCAATAAATCACATTTTTATCATTGTACACAAAAATATGTCAGCAGGAGATTTCCAAAACTCTTCTGGTAGAAAATAAACAAACTAATACCCTGATAAATGATCATGCTGTATTCAGGACTACATGTTTGTATACTTGTTTGACATAAATTGATGAATTTGAGATATGTCCATTTTGTCTAAAAGATCTGCTTGTTTGTTCTCTTTTTTTACATTTGGGTATTCAACACTTGAACTTAAGTTTAGCAAACAGATACTTGGAAAGCAAATCCGCTTGAAGACCTAACAATTCCCAAATCGTTGATGGTATAATTCATTTTATTAATGCGGATGTATTTTCTTATATATAATTGAAGATTTTTCTAGATTTCTTCTTTGGTGATCGGCTATATTTAACACTTGGGATGTATCTATAAAAGGTAGAGAAGGTATTTTATAACAATCCATGATGCATCAACTGTGTTAAAAGTAAATAGACGTTGCTATACCTGTAGATATAACTTCATAACTTAAGTCAATACTGCCCGGCTTTATTATGTTTTAAGCCTCTCTTCTGGTCAGAGTTGTACACACATCAGAGAAGTGTTGGTGTGTTCGGTTGATGCACAGACAAAACTTCATTTAAGAGACACAATTTTATAGCAATATGCTGACAGACATTTTCAAACGATTTTGAATGAGTTTCATTTGCAATATCAGTATATACAGTTCTTATTTACACACGCACACACACACACACACACACACACACACACACACACACACACACACACACACACACACACACACACACACACACACACACACATTCACACACACACACACACACACACACACACACACACACTCATGGGAAGACTCCAAAAACTGTCACTATAAACAAACTAAAGCTTAATGATCCATCTTTACATCTCGCACACTGAGTGACTGATAGCCTTTATATATTTACTGTACTGCTTACAGTCACACTTTGTCTGCCAGCCACTTATCATATTCCCTCCAGCTTTGAGTGAACTGAACTGAAGCCAAAACTAAATGTACATGATATATAATAAATAAAGTGAGACCAGCCATCTAAAACATAACTAAGCGTTTCTTCCATATGAAGTGATTCCATTTGTTTTAGAAATCAAATTGTATCAATTGTTCTTGGATGTGATCTTTCATCTACTGTTTGCTTCTTCTGATACACAAAAAACAATTACAACTATTTGTTATATATTATCTAAGGACAATTTAGTCCTGGAAATTTCATGTAGAGTCTGAAAGATGGAGAGGCAGGTTGTGTCGAGTTAAAGACACGATCAAGTTGCATTGTGGGAAGTGTATAATCAAGGTGTTTTAAGGGTCCATACAATCACAAACTCCACAACTTTAGGATGCTAAATCACTGATGAACCTCTTTAAGTACAGTAGTAAAATAGCAACGGTTCATTGTGAATTATGTGTTTAAAACATAGTACTGCACTCCCCATTTATTTTCAGTAAAGCACTTTGTGACAAACCCTGGCAAAGGAGCGCTGCACTAATCTTTGATTTGTTACTTTTAATAAGCTATAAGAAGTTTTATTAACTGTGAGGCTTTCTTTACGGTCACCCACGGTCCAGACTCTGCAGCAGCTTCGCTGTGCACTTGTCGCTGAAACCCAACACAGACACAGACATTAAGTGGCCCGCAGAACTCGTACATCTAAGCATTTTAATTGTAATGGGGCACTGGTGGTATTCATGGAGATGTGAACAGACTTGCAAAGTAATTATGCCACAGCTCGAGAGTCTCATTTGTTGTTGTTGTTGTTGTTGTTGTTCTTTGCCAAGAAAATCCCCAAATGATAAAACTCAATAATACAATGATTATAAAACAATTCAAACATTGGAATGCAAAACTCCTTCTACAATCATCGCCAACTAAACTATATTTCCAATATATCGTATTTTACCACCTTTATTAGGTCTACCAATATTTAATATTCCATCCGTCACATACTTATGTAAATATAATACCTTGCTTTATATCTTGTTATTGTTCATTTGTAAATTCAACATGTATATTTTCTACTTTCTTGTTTATTTCTTGTCTTTACATTTGTATTGTACAATGCCATGTCTTTTTATGCTGCTGCAACACAAACATTTCCCAAATTGGGATCAATAAAGTTCTATCTTATCTTAATAAATTCACACAGCAACTAAAAGGATGTTTCTGAATATGAGGAGTATGTTGTGACTCCACACACACTTGTTTACCTGCAGATGCTGCACACGAAGCAGTGTGGGTGGTACGTCCTCCCCAGGGCAGAGACCACCTCCCCAGTGATGTACTGGCTGCAGCTGTCACACTGGGTCCCATGGAGCCGCTGGTAGTCCTCAGTGCAGATGTACTCTCCGGAGTGGTGGAAGAAACCAGAGTGCACCAGATCACAGCCACACACTGAACACACAGAGAGAGACAGAAAGAGAAACAGCTCGCATCACTCCCCAGAAATACAGGAAGAGAAAAATGATTCAGTGGGAATATCAATGAGATAACATTTGGAGTTAGAGAGCTGTTCATAAGTAGTTTGCATGCATCAGGAATTTCTTATCATAAGCCATATCATGACTTTATACACATCAATACATATGATCAGAGGTGGGAAGTAGTGGAGTACAAATACTTTGTTACTGTACTTAAGTACCTTTTTCTGGTATCAGTACGTTTTCTGACAACTTTTTACTTTTACTTCTTACATTTGTAACACAAATACCTGTACTTTCTACATCTTACACTTTGAACTCAAATACCTGAACTTTCTACTTCTTACATGTTGAACACAAATA